CCCGCCTGGTCAATACACACAGCACAGCACACCAGAATACTACACAGAAACGAACAAGTATATACATATAAGATCTAGAATATATATATATATATATATATATATATATATATATATATATATATATAAGCTCTACACTTCTCATTTGAACTCCCACCAAACCTCAAGTTTATAAACACTCTAAAATAAGCCTCATCACACAAGCTTCACACTCCTGTCACTTCCCTAGCCTCCTGCATGGCCAAACCACTATATCTAGAGGAAGAGTACTACAAACCAAAAGAGTATGTATCTACATACCCTAAAGCAAAAAGTCTATCCTTCCTTGCCTCTATTTTCTCTCTTTTCATCTACATATGTATCTTTTATACCTTCAACCTATCTCCCTATTCCCTCCTCAACAACAACATCTTTTGGTTTTTCATGTCCAACACCCTCATCCTCATCATTGCTGTTGACTATGGAGCATTCTCTTCTTCCAAACAGAAACAAGATCTCTATGAAGAGTATGTGCAGCATAGTCAAGCCAGAAACTATGTCTCCTCATATGATGCAAAAGTTGATAAACAATGCATTATTCCCAAACAAAAGCTAGGTAGTCATAAGCTGTTAGAGGAGAAGAAAGAAACTATCTCTTTTCAAAATATCCCTGAACGTGTACTTGAAATCGTGGCACTAAATCAACCTAAGAAACCTAGTGGGTGCTCCAATGAGAAAAAACCAACACTTCATAACTTGCAAGTAGGTGATGGTAGTGAAAATTTTGTGGAGAAAGCAATCCCTGCAAGAATTTTCCGACGAAGTAAATCTGATAGACATAATAGAGCCAAGCATGTGGTGCATGAGGCGAGGGTGAACAAGGTGAAAAAGTCAGAGACTATGAAGGTTGAAGCAAGTGTTGAGGAAGAAAATAATGAGTTTTCCATTATGTCAAATGAGGATCTTAATAGAAGGATTGAGGAGTTTATTCAGAAATTCAATAGGCAGATTAGATCTCAGGCAACTAGAGATGTTTAGAAGGTCTACCAAAAGTGCGTTAGAATGTATAGAGTAATAATTATGAATTATGTTAAAAAAAATTATAGAGGAATGTTCCAAACTGTCCTTGTTTTAAATGTTGAATAGCATAGTCTTAATTATCTTTTCTCTGATACATGGTATATAATCTAACATATTTCTATTGACTATTTATTTTGGAGGGTGTACACCTTTAATTTCGTCTAATTACCACTCCTTTTATCCTTTTTCATAAAGATATATACCATAAAAAGAAATCATTAGTAGAAAAATGGAGAATTAAATAAACTGATAATAACCTTCTATCTGTAGAAATCAAATTGTGGCCACATATGGATATATTGGACTTGTGTGACAAATCTGCAATATTAATATAACCATATATTGAGGGCCTTATCTATATTAGGCGTACATCTTTATTGTGGATTCGGGTTAAAGGTGAAAGCAACTGTTGAACCAACAATTAGGATTTGTATGTACGTACTGTGTACAATTAAGATGGGTGTACACTGTGAGACGGCTTTAATTAGGATTTGTTGATGTTACAGTTTCGGTTTTTAAAGAGGTTATTACTGTCTTGCAAGCCACTCCAGAACAGTTCACAACCGTGGTGACACAGCAACATGGTAGTAACGCCACCACTTTTACCGTCGTTTTTTTTTTTTTTTTTTCTTTTCTGTAATCACTATTATTGTCATTATTTTTTTTATGTCACCACTATTATTATTATCTTATATCTTATATGAGAGTAGTAACAACAATAACAATAATAGCGACTATAATAATAGTAATAGTGATAATTGTAAAGATGATAATGATAATAATAATAATAATTGTGCAATAATCTTGGTCAAGTCAAGTTGATTACCTTTATCTTGCCCAATTTACCTAAGCCAATATTTTAAACTGGAAAACTTTCCTCCAAATGCAGCTACCTTAGGACATCATCGGCCCATATGATAAACTGTTGATAGGATTCACTAGCCACATGATCAACACATGAGGTTACATAAAGCTCCTAACCAAGTTCAGAGAGGACGAACATGTCAAGTCAGTAAACATTAAATATTTACTAACGGACATAGCCACCCCACATAATCCTCGATCTGGATATGAAGACAGTCGCCCAACATCGACCAACGAGTTGGAAGACCTTCAAGTTAGCCCAAACCTGACCATGTAACCAAGATTGGCAAATAATTTTCCCCTGTCACACGTTTGGGCATTATCCAAACCTTACTTAAAAATGTTAACCTCTTCGCTTGGAATAGTGTCGATATGCCATGGATCAACCCGATTTCATATGCATAAACTTTTTATTTCCAAGCAAGCAAAACCAATTACCTAGAGAAAATGAAAACTTGGTGAAGAAAGGCACCTCCCAACGAAATAGGAAGTCACGAGACTCAAAGTTATTGATTTTATCATAAAAGTCACATTAACAATGTGGCTCACCAATGTCATAATGGTCAAAAGGATGAATGAAAAATGGCTCATGTGCATCGATTACATTGACTTAAACCAGACTTGCTCAAAATATGTCTACCTGCTCCCCAACATTGATCTCCTTGTTGATAGTGTTTTTGGCCACCAATTGCTCCGTTTTCTAGATGCTTACTTCGAGTACAACCAGATCATGATGTACCTACCCAACAAGGAAAAGATAGCCTTTATCACTGGCAATGTCAAGTATTGCTATACAATAATGCCCTTCACCTAAAAAATGCTAGGGCAACATGCTAAAGATTGATAGACAAGATCTTCCGAGAAAAAATTGGTCTCAATATGGATGTCTATGTTCACGACATGGTCATAAAATCCACACAATTTGACCATTATGTCACTGATCTAGCTAAAATCCTAGCTCAAATTAATAAGCACAATATGCGCCTCAATTTGGAAAAGTGTACTTTTGGAGTTCATGGGGGAAAATTCCTAGGTTTCATGCTCACCCACAGAGGCATTGAAGCCAACCCTAACAAATGTGAAAACTTTATCAATATAAGAAGTCCAAAAATAGTAGAAGAAATATAAAAATTAACCGAAAGACCAGTGTCACTAGCTCGTTTTCTCCTTAACATGGCCCAAAAATCCAAACACTTTTTCAACCTTCTAAAAAAAAATTGACAAAATTCACTTGGGGCGATCCCTGTGAAAAAGCATTTAGACACTTAAAGTCCTTCCTTGCAACACCACCTATATTGTGCATACCAACGCAAGGATTACCCCTCCTCTTATGACCTAATCCAAGAAGATAACAAACAACAACCGGTGTACTTCATTAGCAGAACCCACCATAAAGGATAAATCAAATACCAAGTCATTAAGAAACTCATACTCACCCTGATCACAATAGCTCCCTATCTGTGATGATACTTCCAAAGTCACCAAGTGGTATTCAAAAATAACTACCCAATAAAGCAAATATTAAGGAAACCCAAGCTTGTTGGCCAAATGATAGCTTGGTCAATTGAGATATCAAAATACAACCTTAGTTATGAACAACGAGGACCCATGAAGTCATAATGTCTTACCAACTTCGTAGTAGAACTCATACCCACACCCACAGCAAAGAACGACTAATGGACCCTAAGAGTAGATAACTCATTTAGTAAGAATAGTAATGGTGCAAGCTTGATTCTGGAGAACGACGATGAAATTATGCATGAGTAATCTGTCAGGTTCAGATTCAAAACATCCAACAATTAGGTTGAGTATGAAGCCTTCGCCTCGCTCACAAGATCAATATCAAAAAATTGAAGTGTTATAGCGACTCCTAGTTGGTCACTAGACAAATACTCGAGATATACCAAACAAAAGATCTTCAATTAAAAAATATATTATCTACTCGCCAAAGCACTTAGCTGAATTCAAGGAGTTTGAAATCATTCATATATCGCGAGAATAAAACGCTTGGGTTGATCTCCTCTTAAAACTAGCAAGCACAAAGAAGTTAGGACAATACAAAACAATCATATAAGAAACTATTGTTTCACCTAGTATCAACACTATTAGCAGTATTAACATTGTCGAACCCGTCAACAAAGAATGGATGGTGCCAATTTGGGATTACCACACAACGAGTAAACTCCCTGTCAAGTCGACCGAGTCTTGAAGGCTAAAACTACAATCATATTGATATGTTGTTATAACCAACAAACTCTTCAGAAAAGGGCACACTTTTCCCCTGCTAAAATGCCTCAATAAAGAACAGGCAAACTATGTACTATGAGAGATACATGAGGGCATTTGTGGAATGCACTTAGGCACCACGATAATGGAGACAATGATGCTTCGAGCAAGATATTACTACCTAATCACCTGAGTTGACTACCAAACCTTTACTAAGAAATGCCCAACCTGCCAACAATTTGGCACACTCACACGCCAACGGATAGAAGAACTCCATAGCATTCACTCTCATTGGCCCTTCGCAATATGGGGAATTAGATATTGAGACCTTTTCCTAGTAGTTAAAGGACAAGTCAAATTTCTCATAGTCGCCATCAATTACTTCACCAAATGGATTGAAGTCGAATCACTAGCAACGATAATTGCAAACAATATCCAAAAGTTCTCATGGAAAAACATGATCTATAGATATGACCTTCCACAAGCCATAGCCACTAACAATGGACAACAATTCATACACAACAAATTCAAAGACTTCCTCAGAGAACTTGACATCTTAAATAAGTTATCATCAGTCGAGCACCCACAAGCTAACGGTCAAGCTAAGGTAGCCAAGAAAGTTATCATGAACAAGCATAGGAAATGCCTCGGACCCTCCAAAGGAGCATGGCTAGATGAACTCCTTAATATACTCTAGGCATACCATTGACCTCCCCAATCAACTACTAAGGAAACACCTTTTAGCTTGGCATTCGGCATCAATGCCATGATGCTAGTCAAACTCGGAAAACCCTCCTATAAACGATTTCATTTCCAACCCACAATTAATGAGGAGAACATGAATATTGAACTTGACATTGTCGACAAGAGAAAAGGGGAAAATCAACGAGGTAACAAGCAAACAAAGGATAAATAGCTAACTAATATGTCACAATCAACCACAAGGAAATGCATAAAACCTTAAACAAACAGATTAGTGTACCTGATATAAATGAATTTCTTTTGATTTGCTAAATGCTTCAACAAAAGGCATGCTCCAAGAGTCGATCATTATCTCTCAAGGATACTTAGAAATGAATTTATTGCAGCAATAGTAAGCCAAAACCAAACCAAAAGATTGTTACCATCAAACATACTAAATAATGCAAAGAACATAAATCTAGTTCCTTAATCACTTGTAATCCAATTGAAAGGTGTACAGGGCGCGTCTTTAGGGGGGAGGTCATGCCATGATTGTAGCAATATATGACAATTGCTATAAAAGAACCAAGAATTAAAAGGTGTACAAGCTCTTGTGTTTGACTTCAAATGCAATTTCTAAGCAAACAAACTCTTGCATTCATAACATGAACTTTCAACTTCACACGCAATTTTTTAGGGAACTTGCTCTTATGTCTGAGTTCATGCACGATTTCCAAGCAAATAAACTCTCACATTCTTGTACAATGTTCTTGTGTGATTTCTGAGCAAACAAGCACTCACACGCATGCAATTTCCAAACAAACAAACTCTCGCATTTCTCTACAACATTCCTGCATGATTTCTAAGTGAACGAGCTTTCGTGCACTTGTGATTTCTGAGTAAATAAGCTCTCTCCTTCCTTTACAATGTTCTTGTGTGATTTCCGAGTAAACAAGCTCTCATGCACATGTGATTTTCGATGCAAATGAGCTCTCGCAGTCCTCTTCAACATTCATGCACGATTTTTGACTGAACAAGCTCTTATATCTTTAAAATCACGAGCTTTGAGATCCTAAGTGATTACAGCCTAATCAACTCTACAAGCACTTCGAGTGCAACAGATTTAACCTTCCTCAATGAATCCAGTCAAAGCATGATCTAACCTCTACACCTCGCCCTTGCCAGCAAAACTCAATATCTCTAAGACAAAAGGGCAACTTTACTCTAAAGAGCTTGGAGCTCGGGGGGCTTATGTATCACCCAACTCGATCAGGTCAAGTTGTTTCTCCTATTTGCCCACATTGAGCCTTCAGCCCATTATGAAATCCTAAGCAGTTAACTCTTAACGGTTAGCGGGATATCTTGGCGTGAATATATTCTACAATATCATAATCAAGCACATTATATTCATCTAACGAAATATCTCCAACTATCAAGAATAGTTTCTCCACTAATCAATAACAATATCTCCACACAATCACTAGAATATATTCTTAAGATATCATACAACAATTTCTCTAAACCTAAAGATAAGATCAATCACATATATATGGGACATCAGGTAATGATACTCTGATCTCACTAGAGTAGGAATAATGAGAGCATACAAAACACGAGTAAAATTTTTTAGAAACAATGACCTTAAAAAGAACATATATTTTGAAAAGAAAAGAAAAGATAAATATCAATAAATATTACCACATGCTACCGTGTTTTCTTTTTTCCTTTCGAAAACTAAAAATAACGTTATTTCAATTTTGAGATTTTAGTTGATTTTTAAAAAAGAAATGTTTTCTAAAATGTAACCATACATATTTTCAATATTATTTTCTAATTTTTATAAGATGTTCAAAGCAAACTAGGCCTTATAGTTTTTGCATAAGACTTTCCTTCATCTCTACTATATCGATTAGAAAACAAATTTTCAAAAAAATTCTATTACAAAAGGTTCAACCATCTACCGCACCAAGGTATGAAACAAAAAATCTCTTTTCTTATTAAGATTCAACTATTTTAACGCCTTCTAATTATTTTCCTGTCACCTATTCATACACATTATCAAGCACACTTGTATATTAGGGATGGCAAAACGGGCCAGCCCGGCCCGTTTTGGCCCGGCCCGCCATTGGGCCGGCCAAA